CACCATATTCACCCACTCTACATATACTTTGTATTGAGCACTTTTGTTTTGGAATAATCGACTTTCGTATCTACACTATATATGTACAGCAAACTACTGAAGAAAAACATAACTTAGTCCTACAAAAAAACCACAGAAGATACGGCTAGAAAAATAAGACAAGAAGACAAGAATATTGCCGTGAAATTAAACATCGATGACCGCGTCAACGTCACCGCAAATAGAGAGGCCTTCATCACCTTGAAAGAACACAAACCAAACTTTACAAATAATCCTGCGTGCAGATTGATCAACCCTACCAAACCAGAAATCGGCAAAGTAAGTAAATAAATTTTAGACGGGATCAATAAGAAAATTATTACAGAAACAAGAGCAATGGAAAAACACCGCATCTGTAATAGAATGGTTCAACAAAATCGAACACAAAGAAAAACATCGTTTTATTTGCTTTGATATAGTAGAATTCTACCCATCCATTAACCAAGATATTCTTCTCAATGCGTTACACTTCGCTTCATCATACGACCATATTTCGGAAGAAGAAATAAATATTAATCAACATTCAAAAAAGTCCCTGTTATCACATGATGGCCACTACTGGCAGAAGAAGAGCACAAGCTCATTCGACGTAACTATGGGCAGTTTCGATGGCGCAGAGACGTGTGAATTAGTTGGATGCTTTTTATTGTCACAGCTACATAATATTTGCGGGAAAAAGATCGGCCTGTACAAAGATGATGACTTAGCCGCTGTAGACAACACACCCAAAGAAACTGAAAAAATAAAAAAAGCCATCTGTTGTATTTTCAAACTACACGGTCTGAAAGTCACAATTGAAGCTAATAAAAATATTGTCAACTTCCTGGACGTCACATTCAACCTCACTGACAGCTCTTACAATCCATATATTAAACCCAACAGCCACCCACTATACGTACATAGAGAGAGCAACCACCCACCCTCCATCACAAAGAATATACATGTGTACTGGCAGGAATCAACAAACGATTGTCATATCTTTCATCAGACGGAAAGCACTTTGATCTAGCCGCGCCACACTACCAGACAGCTCTAAATCAAAGTGGATATGATTATCACCTTAAATTCGAACCCCCTCACGGAAAGAAGACGGGCAAACAGACCCCGTAACAACACCCCCCCCCCCTTCAGTAAAAATGTCACCAACAGCGTCAGGAGAAGATTCCTCGCCCTGGTTGATAAGTGTTTCCAACAGGGAAACAAACTCAGGAAAATTTTTACCCGTAACACCATCAAATTGAGCTACAGGTCTAGGCCTTTATGTCACTCATATCAAATGACTGTACGAATGAAATATACCAGGCTGATAACCGTATAAAATTTCACTTACGTTTGTTCAAAACCATCAGGTTGAAAACATGGATCCCATCCAAAATCAGGAGGGCCTCTTGGAGGAACTATTGTGCCCTGCAACATAAAGACATCAAACAAGGATCAAACTATAATAGTAGAATAGTAATATAAAAATAAGGGTTACAGCCATTGAAGAACTGTACATAATAAAATATCACTAATACATGTACTATCAGGGTATTACAAGGATACCTAAAAGTATGCATGAAGACAGTACTACGGGAGTACCAACTGACTGACATGCAGCGTACTGTCCGACTCCAAGGATACATTATGGGAATGCCGAAATCCAGATTTACCGAACTTCATTGTGTGGAGTCTGGTCAAACCCTGGGGGCTGCATGTTTTTTTTTTATTATTAGAGGATGCTTATGTGCATAATCCATATTTGGAATTTGCATCTCCTAATATGGTAGGATGCAAAAACATCCAGTGCAATACTGCAAAATTATGACACGCTGTAACTGGCTGGCTGGCGTTGCGGAGACAGATGTATACCAATAACTAATATATCACTAATATTAAGACAATATATCTGTTCTGAATTCCATGCACCAACAATCATTTCCCAGCAATGTATTCACATCATTGTATGCTGACTTACTGTAGTTTTTCCATGGAACAGTTTAACAGGATCATCTGGATTACCAGTAGAATATGCAAATGTACAAAGTGCATAGGCAGATTTATCTTCCCAAGCAGTGAGTAGTTTGTATAAACCTAATGAAATGAACACTTTGCATGTTTTATATGTATTAGAGATAAAACCAAAAGAGGGAGAGGTGTGAACTGGCATACAAACATACTATTTAGATGAACGGGATGCAACGTTAACCAATATTAAGAAAAATATACAAACAACACAAAATCTAAATTAGTTACTAAAATAACCAAGTTTGAAACATATAGGATAAAATCTGTTTAATAAAAACTGTGTCCACAAGAAACAGCCGACTCGTGCCAGAGACGAAACAACAAAGACCAACATTTCCCCCTCATACAACTTTCCATACAATAAAAAAAACGTTTAAACTTCAATTTTAATGCACACAATTTGAAATTAGCCTTCACCCCCCCACAAATATAATGACATGCATCTCATGATAACCCCCCCCCCCCAAACAAATAGAATGACTTACATTCCCTGTATATCAAGTTGCACAGTGAATTTAACAATTCTAAATATCTTTTCATTTAATATTTACCTGAAGGTCCAAGCTTCTTAAGAAACCATTTTCTGTTAAAAGATTATGAACCTTAGTAATCATAACATGAATCATGGTATTTAACAGTTTAAAGTGATCACAATTAAAATGTGCTGTATTTAATAGTATGCACTGATAACTAATGAAAATATGAAGAAAACCAAGTTGACTATCAGAACAGCTTGGTTGATTTTACAAATAAAACACAACACAATATTGAGTTGGTAAAAAATAGTAGATAGAACAATAACACTACACACATATACGGTGTCATTGCTAAGAACATGGTTCTGGTTGCTATAACGACACACCCACCTAAATTCTCTCACCTGGAGATTAACTTACATATAGGGACCTGGTAATCCATCTAATGCATTGAAGCACAGACATGTATCCTCTGTCAAAACTGGCCCCTTAATCTGAAAAATAAAATCATGAAATTGGCTCAAAAATAATAATTTCCTATTTTACATTCTTAAATTCTCCCCAAATGCACAGAAATGTATGATCACGTAAATAGAAAGAATGTATGCATGTCAATAAATGATACTTGCATGTTTCGCTGCTTCTCGACACTTTGCTGCTGATATATTATCTGGTTCATCCTGGAATTCTGGTACTGCAATGTAAAAAACCAATAATAATAATAATAATAATAACTTTATTGCATCCTTAGAAATACAATGTTTCTATTAGTTAATAGCAATAAAGATTAGTTGTGATTACTACTGCAAAAAGAAAGAGAGTTGTTAGATTACAGAAATCCAACATCTATGTTTCTATGAGTTGTGAGCTGCCCTATGGGTATGTAAAGGTAGAGTAACCCTATACGTACCATATATATACAGCTATGGGTTGAGAGATCCTGTAGATGTGCAGCCAGGAATTGGGAAATGCTATGGATGTGCAACTATGGGCAGAGAATCCTGCACATGTACAGCCACAGTTTGGGAAATCCTATACATGTGCAGCTATGGGCTATGCAATTTTGAGTTGGGAAATCCTATGGCATGCAATCACAGGTTGAGAAATCTAATGAATCTGCAAATATGAGTTGAGAAATCCTATGGTGTGCTATTATGGGTTGAGAAATCCTATGGTGTGCTATTATGGGTTGAGAAATCCTATGGGCTTGCAATCACAGGTTGAGAAATCTTATGAATGCAATCATGGGTTGAGAAATCCTCTGGGTATGCTATCATGGGCTGAGAAATCCTATTGTTGTGCAATTATGGGTTGAGAAATCCTATGGTTATGCAATTATGGGTTGAGAAATCCTATGGGTATGATATCATGGGTTGAGAAATCCTATGGGTGTGCAATTATGGGTTGAGTAATCATATGGACGTGCAATTATGGGTTGAGTAATCATATGGACGTGCAATTATGGGTTGAGTAATCATATGGACGTGCAATTATGGGTTGAGATATCCCATGAGTGTGCAATTATGGATTGATAAATCCCATGGGTGTAAAATTATAGGTTGAGAAATCCAATGGATGTGCAATTATAAGTACCGGGTATGCTATTTAAATATCATGATATTTTGGAACATTTTTTGAAATGATTTAAAAATAACTCTCAAAATATAATTTAAATTTAAGAGCATTCAGTATTGAACAAACTATGTGATGAAAGGTGAATACCCGGTACCAGGAGATGCCTGGTAGTAACCATGGAGATGTATACATTTTGTTCTGCCTGATCTGATAAATGAATCACTATCTATGTATGTTTGTAACTTACAATCAATTTTTCTTGAAACTACAGTAAAGGTATCTGATAAAATCTCCTTAATCTGAAAAAAAACAGATGATCATATTTCCCTGACTTTTTTATTTTATATACATGTATATCGACCCATATTTTGAATAATTCAGCTCGGATGCATGGTTATCTGTTTTCAAATATCACCCTCCATAGTTAGTAGCTATAATAATAATAATAATAACTGTATTATCAACCTATCTCCATTGAGATCTGGACTAACATACACTAAAGATTAAATGATACAGAAAATATCTATATAAAATACAAACAAACAAACAAACAAAAATAAAAAAATAAAAGTATAACAGAAAGAGAAAGAG